TTATTCTCTTCCCCGCGATCTCGCGCTCGATCGAACGCGATAAATCGATCGAACGTTCGACGCGTGACGTGTGTGTGTGTGTGTATGCGGTGGTACTTTATGACCGGCGATCGAATCCACGATCGTGTCGTACGAAAGCGCCGATCGCAGCGGTAACATCTCGAGCGAAGCAGATCTCGCACGAGAACGTGCGACGCAACAAGTGTGAAAAGCATGTAACCAGTGTGTGACGAAAGGCGCTCAAACTGAGCCGGTGGTCCGCGAGACACTGGAGACCAGGGACCGATTGTGGGGGATGTATATACGGTGGATATCAGAGTGATAACACCGCCCCTGGTCTTTCTCTCTATCTCTCTCTCTCTCTCTCTCTCTCTCTCTCGCGATAAACTCCCGCCGGGAGGCAGCCACTTGATCGATACGCCCGCCGGTTGCATTCAGCTTCTTTCTTTCGTCTTCGCATCTGTCAAAACTTTGTCTTTTTTTTTTCTTCTCTCGCGGTATCTTTTGTTACTTGAAATGGAAAACTCGTGGTAAACATTTCCCGTTGTTCAAAAATCTCGTACGCGTGATATATATACAACAATTATTATCGACCTTACGACCTTACGATTTCGTTCTATCGTAAAGTTGAAAAACAAAACGCACGTGTTGTGCGCGCGAGTCTCACCTCGCTTCAGCCGAGACGTGGTTACAACACCACATTGACAGCTGAATTTATGAAAAAAAGTTTGCGGCGCAATTTATTTTGTACACGCGCACGCATAGAGGATTAAAGAAGAAAAAACGAAAAAAGCGAAGGAGAAAGAGAGAACATAAGGGTTATACAATTTTTCTCGAATATTTTATTTTGAATGTTATAAAATTAAAAAAAAAAAACATCGAGTTTTTAACACTAGATTTACCAGACCAGTCATTTTGACTGGTCGTGCAATTTCAATTCAAAATTTTTACTGCATGTAACATTTGCTTTCCGAAATGATGTTATGACTATTGTAGCTATAAGTAGAGAATACATTTTATGAACTTAATGGTACTTTATATATATTCGTAACAAATATATTTTTTGTATTTTTTAATAGGTATATTTAATTAGCTGGTATATCTAGTGTTAAACAGATATTACACCGAAATAATTGTATTCTTGTTTTGAGGATATCTCACTTACTTTAAATATATTTTATATTAAAATAGACGCCAAGAAGAGTTTCTTATTTTAAGAGGAAAATTCCCTAAATAGTAATATTGATAAGAATATATACTGATTAGAATATAAAAAGCCTCTATGGAAAAACAAATATATCTCACTATCGAAAAAGACTATGTTCTTAAATAAAGAATATATTCTTAATTTCAGAAGAATATCATCTATAAAATCTTTAAGAAGATTTGTTAAGTATAAAATCTTCTACTTACGAGAATATAATTTTTTCGGTGTATTTAAACATATATCGTCGCATAACGTGTAGCAATTAAAATGATGCAACAAAAAATAAAAATCGGAGAGATACGGTGTAATGCCGATTATTCTGTACCGAACCCGCACACACACTTTAGTTTATAAAATTTATTACTTGAGAGAAAATAACAATCGCAAACTTTTTATAAAAAAACTTTTTATGCTTTTATTTCAATCATTCGTGTCGTCTTAAAATTGGCATCTTAATTTTTCGCAACTTTTTACATCGCCTTTTTACATATAGTCGTGCCACCCCGTAGACACAGCGTTTTAATATTCTGTTTTATATTAGCGCGAGTATAATCGCAAATGTCAATAATGTTCGGCCATTCCCTCGAGCAATTGAATTTTATCAACTTGACCGTCTCAGGGTCGCCATTATATTTCTGTTTAAACATTCGCCTGCTGCGTCACGTATCTTCCTGAGTCACCTAAGCGCGCGTCAGTTCGTCACGATATTCGAAAACATCTTCGCGATCGTTTTCTTTTTTTTTTTTTTTTTTTTCCCCGATTTCAAAGGATCCGTTCTCGTCGCGGATTTATTTACATCGTGTCTGTTGCGCTAATCTCTCGATCGATTTCAAAAAAACGGAAATTACAGGCATTGAAACAGCCGTGCCAGGAGCGCATTTTTTTTTTTTTTTTGAAGCGCATTTGTCAAACAAATTTTTCTATTACGAAGGCTGTGTGTGACGAAGCAAGTTTCGTGTTTCTTTAAAATTAGCATGTTAAATTATGACGGCAAGTTGTCACACCGTGACAACTTTTGCAAAATAGCTGTTCAGAATTTCTGCGCGCGTGCGCGGACACAGAAGTTATATTGAAAACATTCATCTTTCTCTCTCTTTCTCTCTCTCTCTCTCTCTCAAAAACCATTCAGGTAGTTAATTAATCAAAGATTGTGTCACGCATTCCGTCGGTTGTCGAATCGAGATCTTATGAGTCACGTGTGCGGCTATACAAATGGACCGTTTGCTTTTAATACCACAATATAATAAGACAAACTTCGGCCCTCGTTTGTTCTCCAGCTGATAAAACTATAACCGGACAATGTCCTGTCTCTTAGTTCAACACACACACACACACACACATTCTTTAATTTAGTTTTTTTATATCATAGGTTTATTTATATATAAGATTTATTAATTTTTTTTTTACACAAACAATCCCCTTTCCCTCCGACTTGTCAAACCCATAAAATGTTTCTTTCCATTAATTGTTTACATTTTCATTTTAACTTGTCGCAACGCAGCTAGCCGCAAGTATCAGACATCGCATTTATTGTGAATATTAATTTATACGTTGAAATAATAAATATAATATTTTTTACGAAAAAAAGAGAGAAAAAGAGAGATGAAGCAGTGAGCGATATTATCGCGTCGAACGATTTTGTACGTCTCATTTCGTAACTATATTTGCGCAAATACTCCGAGAGAGAGCAAAATGTCAAGCTGTTACATCAAGATGTTTTTAGTTTTGGTCAGACGATGAAACCAGTAAACAAAGTACAAAAGAAAGTCATCTTGTGCAGTTGTTTTTATCAAGTTTTTTTTTTACCGTGATTGGCGATTAATTGTGACGATTAAAAGTAAATCGAAACGATTTTCTTTAATAATTTTCTTTTAAACATAAATTATTGTTACGTATACAGAAAAATCTCGTTTATTTAACAACTGTGTGTGTGTGTGTGTGTGTGAATTTGGGCCAAAGACACAATTCGTTATCAAGATTGATCTCGTTTGCGCGTCGCGAGTATATCGATATATATCGTTAGTTTCAAATAACAATTGCGATCAACAGATCGTAAATACACGACGATCTCGAATGATCTCGCGATAATGCTTATCAGTTTCTAATATTGAAACTTGTCATAGAGTATTCTTATCGTCTGTGCAATCAACGTGAACTAATTACTTCAATAAATTTACCGTACAAAGATTAACCGCGATAAAGTTACGAAGTAACTTATTTCCGATTTCGATCACGTGACGCAAAATCTTTTTTCCGTCGCCGTTCATCTTCATGAATTATTAATTGATATTTTTTTGATATTTAATTCTGTGCTATTTTATATTGTTCATAAATTTGAGAATTAAAACATCCAATAAAAATTGTGACGAAAATTCTTGCAGCGCAAAAGCTGTTCGCAGGCAAACTTAAATAATCGGGATTTTAATCCGATGATCATAAGATTCGATTTTTTAGTTTCTTGTTTTCAATTAGCGGATAAAAATTGTATACACATGTATATATATATAACATTTTATCGATTCGACTAACAAGCTTGACTTGTTTGACTATTAAAATTGTTGTTCAAATAATAATTGTGAGGAATAGAATTTTCGTAGAACCGCTTACAACAAAATAGACACAGACTCGCTTGAAAAAAAAAAAAAAAAGAGAAAAAAGAACTAAAAGATGATAGCAATCGTTATCGTTGTCTACCGAGTCCCCTTCGTCGAAGGCCTGGATTCGCCGTACAGTCGGGTACTTGTGTCTCTGCTCCCCGGGTTCAACGGCGGGGTCACGATAGCGTACAAAAGTCATGGTTCATGTAAACCGATGTATATTAAATCATCGCCATCGTCATATCGATAGTAGTTTTTGCTGTTATTCTTCGCTCGGCGTCGCCCTTGTTCGCTGAGAGTTGCATCGACACGATCGCGTTTACAGTTTTTTCTACGATATTCGATCTCACACAAATTTTTCTCATACTCGTCTTTATATATATATATAAAATCAATTTATCAAAATCGTTTCTTTCCGGATTTGAATTGTCTAACGACGACAAAAAAACTTCAAAGCGCGCGACCAGTAGGTCAACGGTGAAATAATAATCAGCTCGATCGAGTTATGTGATCGAGTTAAGTTGTAGATATTGAAGGTGTAACTTTGTATCTTGATTGCGTGATCGCGTTGTAATTAACGTTTACTCGATAACGGGGCCGCGATGAATTTTTCGTCGCGCACTCGCGTTAGTTTTCGATTCTGAATATAAGTTTTATGATTCTTTGACGCGTGACTTTCATTCGTCACAGATTGCGCAATGTGGATCAGTTCGATAAAACGCGGCATGAGATTCTAAAACTCGAGAACTGGAATAACAAACTAAAATCTAATCTTAATTAAGATAACTATAAAGAAATATCTGGAAAAGGATCAATAAAAAAAAAAAAAGGTTAATAAACTTTCAAACGACCATCGCGCGCGCGTCTTTTTGCGTTCAACTTTTACGTTTTTTGAGTAAATTTTCAGCGTTGAAAATAATTAAAAGTTAAAAAACTGTGTTGTTTTTGTTTATAAGTAAATTTTATTTATAAGTTAATTAAACTATTTTACATCTCTTAGCGGTGCCCTTTTTTTTTTGATTTGCGATTATTCAATTATTCGAGCCAGTTTAATTGTAACTTAAATAATATTTTGAAATATAAATTCTTTGCGCTTATTATTATCAACTGGAGGTCACTTTGGTTTGGCTCAGAAGGAAGAAGAACGTGCGCGGATGCGATGCAGA